CAATGTTTCTATTGCATGCACTCGGCTCCCTTTGCACTCTTTCTTACCGCATGCATGCATGCATGCATGCGTGCATGCATGCATGCATGCGTGCATGCATGCATGCATGCATGCATGCATGCATGCGGGGCTTTGTTCTTTTTAGTTTTGTGTCTATTTGCTGCTGCAGAGTTTGCTGCATGCAACAAAAAGTTTATCTGTCTCTACAGGGGGAGAGCGCTTCTGCGTGAGGTGCAACAAAAGAGAATAGATGAGGCCGGCTCAGGCCGTTCAAATATCTGCTGCTGCTGTTGCTGCTGCTGCTGCAGCAGCAGCAAATCCGACTGCCCCGCTGCTGCGAAGCCGCTGAAGAAGTGCCCAGCAGCAACTGCAGCAGCAGCAGCAGCAGCAGCAGCGTCCAGTAACTGGTTGGCGATCAGATTTGCTTTCTTGGGGGCATGCGGTGGCTGCAAATGCAGAAGCAGCAGCAGCAGCAGCAGCAGGAGCAGCAGCAGTGGAAGGCAAACACAGGGATAGTGAAGTCCCCAGGGTGAGGGTTTATGCTTGTTTAGGGTTTAGCGAGGTTAAAGTTATACATATCGCGCCAGGCATGAGGGTTTAGGGTTTACAGCATACAGCGTCCAGGGTTACATGGATCCGAGGGTCTTAAGGCCTCTGGCTTAGGGTTTAGGGTTTATGGTTTAGGGTTTAGCGTATCTGCCGCTGTGGGCCTCAAGGATCATCGGGCTGCTGCTGACTCTTAGGGTTGCGGCGTCGGGTTAAGGGTTTAGGGTTTAGGGTTTAATCTATAACTTCTAAACGTTTGCTAGGCAGATGAATGCGTCTTAGGGGTGAGGGTTTAGTGTCTAGGGTTTAGGGTTTAGGGTTTAGGGTTTAGAGAGCTGCTTCTAGGGGTTTATTTACTTCGCAATGAACTCCAGCATTCGTTGGTTAACTGACTCGATGGAGACGACATCGTCAGCGCTGCAGCAGAGACACCGCACGCCACAACTAGCTAGCTAGCTAGCTAGCTAGCTAGACACCCAGCTAGCTAGCTACCCATCTAACTAGCCATCCAGCCAGCTTTCCACCCAGCCCGCATGCAAGCTCGCAGCGCAGCCCTCCAGCTAGCTAGCTAGCTAGCTAGCTAGCTAGCTCGTTGTGGCTGATCGGGGGTGCTGCGTGTTCACTCCTCACCAGATTGTTGTCAGCTTCCCTGGGAAGACCTCGCGGATTTGCGGCAGCCATCGCTCCAGCTGTGCGGTTCTGAAGACAACAAATTTGCATATCTTAAGCCCCAGCTGCATGCACCTCAGCTGCTGCTGCTGCTGCTGCTGCTGCTGTTGCTGCTGTTGTTGTAGCCCGTCCTGCTAGCGCTGCTGCTCCTAATGTCGGGGACGGCTGCAGCTACTACTGG